TGTGTGTGTGTGTGTGTGTGAGAGAGAGAGAGAGAGAGAGAGAGAGAGAGAGAGAGAGAGAGAGAGAGAGAGAGAGAGAGAGAGAGAGAGAGTAAATATGTTATTGATATACCCATGTGTGCGGGCGTAGCCCCACTGGCTTTACATGTGAATGCAGTGCATGTGGACATGTTTTGCATGGTCCTAGATCCTCATCTTGATTTCACTGTTGGTCCTTGTGATGGTTTATTTTCGCGGTACAGCCCTCGATTTGATGTAGGGCTGGTGTGTACAAAATACTGTGAAGGCAATATTCACAGGTATCACCTGTGTGTGAAGTGCTAGATGTTTGTGTGGACATCAATCAAGCACACCCGTCTGTGCACTTGTCGACGGTTAAACTCTTGATTGTCATTCTGTTTTTTTTTTTTTTTTTTTTTTTGTCACTGTGTTTTGCAGCCACATACATAGGCAGGAAATGTGAATCCAAGCTGACCGTTCATAGAACAGAAGCGCGTCTGTTTTTTTTTTTTTTTTTTTGTCCCCCTAGTGAACGTTGAGAGTTGTTTTGATGGATTTGGCGTTTGAGCATTGATGCCTTTTTTCAAGCATGTTTGACATTTGAACATTGAGCCGTTTTCCAAACATACTTAACATAACATAACATAGGGGGAACATTCCTTCATGAGGATTTCTGTCTTCTTGACCTTTTTTTTTTTTTTTGCAGGAGGGCTAGGAGCCGTGTGGTTGATTGCGCATCTGGAGCACACACTGGCCGTTGATTTCAGGAACCAATCAACGGCATCAAAACGGTTCCTGATGCCGGGAAGAGATCTGGCAGTTGTGAGAAGGTGGCGGTTGATTGACTGAGTGGGGGTCAGCGGATCTGCCAATCACTGTGATGGGTATCTCGTGCGATTCTCTACCTGCATATCAGGGGTGTGGGGCAGGGGGTAGGAGGGAGGGGCGTTAGTTAGAATGGGCAAGCGTTTCCTGTGTGCTGCTGCTGCTGCTGGTGGTGGTGGTGGAAGAGTGGGCGAGCTTATCCTGTTTGACGGTGTGTTCGAGTTCCCCCTGGGCTCATCGTCGTCGACATGGGATCGAACAACAATATGCGTGTACTTGAGGACGTGGTGCTGAAACGATTTTGCGTGCTCAAGAGAGATGAAGGGCTTGTTGCAGCAGCTATGGAAGTCTTCGCCGTCGCGTTTTCCTTTCCAGTTTGTCGGTTGTTCACCTAGCTTGCTTGTGGGCTACATCCGTTTCATGGGATGAACATGATGATGATGTAAGGGCTTTTACTCGGGCAATAGCTCAGAAACATCTGCCATGTTTTGTTGCTCTCTGCGTATCGTCATCCATCATCTTCTTACAGTGGTGGTGGGAGGCCTTTTTTTGGGGGCAAATAATCTTATGAGGTGGGTCCTAGTTTGTTTGTCTTAGGTGTTCACGTTTTGATTTCTTTCCCTTGTTCGTCGTGTACCCTTGAGTGAGTCGCCTTGAGGTTTCTGGATCATCTCCCCCCCCCCCTTCCCCCTCGGTGTGTACACTCAAATCTTATGAGGTGGGTCCTAGTTTGTTTGTCTTAGGTGTTCACGTTTTGATTTCTTTCCTTTGTTCGTCGTGTACCCTTGAGGGAGTCGCCTTGAGGTTTCTGGATCATCTCCCCCCCCCCCTCCCCCCTCGGTGTGTACACTCAGAGCAAGCTGCCTTACTTCTCCTATTCTGGTCTCAGTGGTTAAGTAGCGGCTGTGCTTCCTCAGGCATTGAGCAATTCTTCATGTAGCAGGGTGGGCTGCTGCTGCTTGGAGCTAGGGAGGCAAAGGGGGGGGGGGGGGGGGGGTCTGTGCTAGCAATGAAATCAAGCAAACACGGGGTTGAACACTTGCTGCTGCTGCTGTTGTAGTTGGAGCAATGGAAAAAAGCGCACGTTTGCATGGTCGCAAGGAAGCCGGGACCATTCATTGCTCTAGCATGTGGCAAATAAATGGCTGCTCTGTAAATGACATCTGTCTTCTGCTGTTGCCAGCTGCAGGACAGCCAGTGAGCCCAGGAACTTGCTTCAGAAACAACAAAACTAACTCAAGGGTGTGGTACTTGTCCATGTGGTGGTGGTGCATCAACATGACAAGGGAGATGACGAGTGTCCGCCAAGTGTGAGGGGTGTTTGAGGGGTGTTTGAGGGCTTGGCTTGAGTGGAGGGATGCGCTTGGAGGGTTTAGTGTTTCACATCAATTTAGGTGGGTGGGTGGGTGGGGGGTGGTTCATTTCCTGTATCATGAAGGGGTAAGCACAGGAATTCACACCTGCTCTGGAGACGTGTGGGGGGAGGGAGTGTGGTGCTCTTAGAATTTGGTTCGAAGTGAGTGTTACTTTGGCGGAGTTTGTTTGCGCGATGGGGAAGATGAGAGTAAGCTGCATGGGAATGGGAGTGGGTGCTTCGACAACGCTGGGTGATGGGGAGGCGGCGCCTCCCAAGAATGGAGGGAGTAGTGAGGGACGACGAGCTCCTTCGGGGACGTGTCATTCTGGGCGGAAGCCAGTTTCCGTGGGAACAGTGGCAAAACGGGAAAAGTCGAAGTCTATGGAGTCCTGGCAGCGGATCAGTCACAACACATTCCTTCATCGCAAGAGGATGAAGCTGCGAAGTGGTGAGATCATGACCTGCCAATGCGGCACGTCGAGGATGTCAGAGGCCAACTGCGGGGAGAACTGCCTGAACCGAATGCTGTGTATCGAGTGTGTGCCGAGCCACTGTCCTTGTGGCGATGCCTGTACCAATCGCCAATTCCAACTGAGGCAATATGCAAAGGTGCGAGTTGTGAACTGCGGGAAGAAAGGCAAGGGCCTTCAAGTGCTAGAGGATGTACCAAAGGGGGGGTTTATTATTGAGTACGTAGGAGAGGTGTTAGATGAAGAAACCTTTGAGGGCCGTCAATGGGAGTACAGGTTCAACGGGGAGAGGCATATGTATTTCATGACACTGAATGCCACGGAGGTAATCGATGCTTGCCAGAAGGGCAATCTGGGACGTTTCATAAATCACAGTTGCGATCCCAACTGCGAGACGCAGAAGTGGATTGTCAAGGGGGAAGTTTGCATTGGTCTATTTAGCAAGAGGGACATAGCCGCTGGAGAGGAGGTCACGTTCGACTATAACTATGAGAGGCACGGGAGCTTTGCGCAGCGCTGTATATGCGGTGCTGCGAACTGTCGAGGGACAATTGGTGGGGATAACGTGGTGGTGCCGCCAAAGTATGGACTGCAGGCAGGCAGACTAGTGGTACCCTCGCGCACCCGATGTATAAACAACAACAACAACGGCAATGGGGCGAGCCGGGTTTCTCATCACGATTGCGCTGGTGTCGATCCTGACCATTCGGATGAAGGACAGACGTACAGAGGAAAGACGATGAAGATGGCGTACCTCAATGGCTTGGGCGATAGCTCAGTTACAACGACGAGCGATACGTCGGACGATTCGTCGGAGGATAGCGAGGACAACGAGGAAGGGGGATGTGCGCGCAGGGAGGTTGGCATTTCACAGCTCATCGATGAACCGAGATTCGTAGCTACTGCTGGCCCTTCTTCCTGGGATGGAGATTCATCTTCATCTGAAGGAACAGAGGAGGAAGAGCATGAGCAAAATGGGGCACAGGAAGCCGAGGATAATGACGTTGGCAATGCCGATGACGATTCCAGCGATGATGACTCAGAGACAGAGAGCGAGGAGAATGTAGAGCGGAAACGTGGGCACAACAGTGAAGTGGACAGGAGTCCATGTGCAGAGAATGGAAGGGACGATCATGAGACTGACGAAGATGATGACGATATGACGCAGTCTGAAGATCTGGAGGGCCGTGAGAAGGTTCGGGTAGAAGGGAGACGGTTCACAGAGAGTGAGGGAACGGAGAGCGAATTTGAAGCAGAAGCGGCGGAGGGTAAGGAAGACGGTACCAGTTGCTGCCACAATGATAACAAGGACACGGGCAGCTGGCAACGCTACTCCTCTGAGGCGAACCTGAGTAATAATAGCCCAGGCAGGCAGCAAAGCACAGGGAGTGGAGAGGGCAGCGTGCGGAGAGGAGAGGGCATGAGTCACGCGAGAGGGGGGGGAGGACATGAAGCTGGTGCTGAGGATTTTGAGTCTGTACAGCGGGCTCATATAATAAGACTACCATCAAAAGGTACACCACCTCTCAAGCGGACAAGCCCCCCACTGAAAGGAACGCTGATTAAGAGGTTGAAGTGTGAGGATGGGAGTGGAGTTGCAAGTAACGTCCAGGAGAGCACGCTGACCAGCGCGGCGTCCATCTCCACGAGCACTGTTGGGAATGACGTTAGTAAAGATGAAAGGGACTCGAGGGTCCCGGACTATGGTGAAGCAGGTGCAGAGAATGCAGCAGCACCGAACAAGCGGTCCAGCCCTTTGTTGAAGGAGGTTCTCACGAAGAAGGCAAAGAGAGAGGATGGTGGAACAACAGTGGGTGGCGGCAGGGAGAACGGGGTGGCCATGGGTGCGGGCTCTGCGTGCACGAGTAATGTGAGCGGCGTCAGTGCCCGGGGGGGTGGCGGCGTCGTTAAGCTGAAGGGTGGGAAGCCAAAGGGTGTCAAGTCGTCAGCATGCGCTGGCAGTGTGAGGCGGGATGATGTTGCGCATCAGCTGGACAAGTTGCTGGACGTGAATGGTGGGTTGACAAAGCGGAAGGACGTGGCAAAGGATTTCTTGCGGCTGTTTGTGAGAGTGACTGCAGTGGGGGGGGATACCATGACAGGTGCACCGGTATGCAGTGGTCGGGATCTCTCCCTGCTCCTCGACGCGCTGTTGAAAACGTCGAGGGCGAGCATCTTGAGGGACTTCCTTGACAAAAACGGGCTGAGGGCGCTGCAAACGCTGATGGAGAAGATAAAGTCGGATTGGCAGAGAACGCCTGTTCTGCGGAAGGCTCTGAGGGTGGTGGAACATTTGAAGGCCAGGGATGTGCTCAGCCGGGATTCGATAGTGGCATCGCCTGTGGGAAGCTTGTCAGGCGGGAGTTTTGCAGATTGTGTGCGCGAGTTGATGAAGTACAGAGACCAGGAGGTGCAGAGGCAGGCCCATGTGTTTCTTCGACGATGGGACATTCCGTTCTTAGCTCCTCTTCCACAGTGTGATAACCTGCATAGCCAAAATGGCATTCACGGTTGCCCGTCTGGGGGTGGTGGGAGAGGGAGTGGGTTCCATGGGCCAGCAACTTGCAATGCAAGAGGGTTTGGATCGAACTGGCCGGCCCACGGCTGTGGGGCTAGTTGGCACCAGCAACAGCAACAGCAACAGCAACACAACAACAGTAGCAACAGCTCCTCCAACATGTGTTTCCATCAGAACAGCGCAGGTGTGGCTGTTGCAGGCTCTGTTGGGACAGGTTTTGTGAGGCTTCGGAAAACAGTTTCTCTTGCAGACAGTGCGCCATTGTGGAATGATAAACGGATGTTGCCTTGGCCTTCCTCGTCTTCTCCTGACGGCACTGCCTCTCTCGCATCTTCGGATAGGGTTAATAATCCCTGCCAGCAGATGGAGTCAACCATCACACAGTTTTCTCCAGGGAGTGGAGTGGCGACGAGCAAGGACCGGGACCTTGAAATTGGAGCTGAACACAAGGGCCACTTGCCTGAAGGTGGGGGTGCGGCCCAGGAAAGTGACAGAGGGAGTGATAGTGCTAGTGGAGACAATGCTGCGCAGCATAATGCAGATGCGAGTGGGCAGTCTTCCGTGGGATCGTTGAATGCATCGGACCAAAATCATTGTCCGCCGACTGGTGAGCCAGGGAAAGAGGTACCTTGTGAAAATCAAGGGCGGGCTTCAGAGGGCCGTCCATCGCAGCAAGGGTTTCCTGTGACGGATGGGTCCTCTCTCACAGGAAAGAATGGCTCTTTGCATGGTGGGTCTGCCAGTGGGGCAGAGAGCCAGCCACAGCAATGCCGTCAACAGCAGTATGGTGCATATCCCCACCCCTTTTTACATTCCAATCACCAGTCCCATGTTCATTCCCGTCCTCCCTTCGATTTGAAGTCCTATCCCTCCACGCACCGTCCTTGGGGCAATTCATTTGCACCACCACGGCCTTTCGCTTCACGATTTCGCAACAATCGTTTCCGCCCTCGTCTTCATCACCTCTATCACCAACCCCATGGCCGTGCCAACTGGGATCCTCCTCCACACCCTCGTCCTCACCATCCTCAAAGCTGTGGAAACCCACCATGTCCTGCTGTCATCCCCCAGCCACAGCCATATCCTCTCTCTTGTACGCAGCCATATCCGCAGCCATATCTACACCTATACCCGCAGACATATCCACAACCATATCCGCAGCAGCCATATCCACAGGCAACCTTTGCACAGCCACAGGCCGGGGTTACTCCTCCACAACTGCAGACTGGGTCCCATCCTCAGCAACATTCACAGACTGAATGTGCTGGGCTCCAGTCCCATCAGTTACAGCCGCAGCAGTCCGATGTGTCTGAACCAAGCCAGCCCCCAGGTGTGGAGGAGCAGAAACAGAAGGTTACACCACCAGAGTCGCTACCGAACCCGGTAGAGCCTCCTGCACATCCACAACCAACCCAGATGCCACAGCCGTATCCTCAAGAGCTGCCACCCCACTTGCAGCCGCCACCCCACTTGCAGCCGCCACCCCACTTGCAGCCGCCACCCCACTTGCTGCCGCCACCCCACTTGCAGCCGCCACCCCACTTGCAGCCGCCACCCCACTTGCAGCCGCCACCCCACTTGCAGCTGCCACCCTTACCACCTGGCCCGATGCCGCTAGGACAGCAGCTTCCTCCTCAGAAATGTCATGTGACGGATCTGCAGACCCCACCGCCTCAGTTTCATGGTCCGTTTCCTCCAATGCCACACTTGCACCTGACTTTTCAAATATTTCCACAGCCGAATGCACAGTCGGCTGGTCCTCAGCCACCATTTCCTCCACAACCATCCACATGGTGGGGTAATCAGTGTGGAACACCGGTTCCCTATCCGTATCCCCCGCTACCTATTGCCCCACCACCTCCTCTTCCATCTCCCCCACCATTGCCCTCAACGCCGCCACCTCTGCCGCCGCCCCCGCCACCAGGACTTCCACCTCTGGGTGAGGTTGAGGCCACACAGTCTGTAACTGGGTGTGGTGAGCCTTCTCCGCCTGCTGTTGCTCCGGGCGAGGGCGAAACCGCACCGTCTGCAGCCGTATGTGGTGAACCCTCACCTCCTGCTGTTCTTCAAGCCCCAGGAAAGCAGCAGTCTGACCCTCCTCTAGAGCAGCCATCATCATCTCCCCTTACTACTTTGAATCCTCTTCGACCATCGGAACTGACTGGAGACGAGCAATCACATTGTGTCAAATCTCCATGCCACTTGAACACATCTACTGCCAGTGATGGTTGCACTGTTACCGAACCCAGGGACAAGGATGACACGCTCAGCGGCTCGCCAGTGAGCATGTCGGATGTTTCTGGGGAAATTTCACATCCTGCGAGTCCCTCTAACGTTGCAGAGATTACTTGCCACACTGCTGCCTTCGCTGGATCTGTGAATGGCACTGCAAGCACTGATCCTGCTGGGGCCCACCCGGACCAGGCAGATTCCACTACCTGTGATTCCATTTCTCAGTCTGCACATGCATCGAGCAGGCAAACACCCTGTGACACTCAGCCTGTGGTTGCTGCTTGTCACACGCCAGGAGCTCGCTCTGAACCCCTACCCAGCTCTTCGCCGTCACTGAACCCAGAAGAAGGCCCACCATCTGAGTCTCATGCCGAGCCCTCAGACACTGCAAATGCGAATGCTCCTTCAATCTCTCGGGGGGTCCTTGTCCCAGCCCATCCCTCCGACATAAAGGTCCATGGACAAGCCCAGACGCCGGACCATACTATGTCCCCCACGGCGAATGAGACTTTGCATGGGCTTGAATCTCAGCCGAAATCTTTAGACTCTGCGTTACAATCAGATCCTTTGGCACTGCCTAACTCTTCTCTGCCGGCAACTCCTTCACGAGGCTCCCAGCAAAACCATGGTTCCCCTCCACGATCATCACCTCCACGATCATCACCTCCACGATCATCACCTCCACGTTCATCACCTCCACGTTCATCACCTCCACGTACATCACCTCCATGTTCATCATGTGCGGTAGTCGTCATAATGCAGGCTGCTGACAGTTTGCAACCACAACCGGATTCCCCGTCTCTAACCTCCACCAACCCCCATCCAGAAGATGAGCAGCGACCACTTCTGATCCATCGTTCTTCGGAGGCTTCCGAAACCCCGCTGTCCACAGAAAACCTGTGTGATGCAGCGGCGCCTTCAAACTCACTTTCTGCTTCTGGTGCTCAGCCTGTGCTTGACGATGAGCCCCGTTGTGTGGTGCACGGGAAGCCTTCAGAAGCAGAAGTGGAGTCTGAATCAGAAGGTAAGCATAGTGTCCACTCCGTGAGTATGTGCTCCATGAGAGAGGACCATGATGTGAGAGAGGACCATGATGATGGAAATCCTCAAGGTGCACACAAGGATGCAGTTGCACCTTCATTGAATGAGCAGGACAGCGAGGAGTTAGGTGTAGTCCTAGGGGAGAGGGAGAGCACAGGTTCCACTCAACCTTTAGAAGAAAGAAGAGAAGAGACGAAGGTAGCTGCAGGGCCCAGTACAGACGGGAACAGAGAGACTCAGATTGTCCCACTGGGGCCTTTGCCAGGTGCCCATGCAGGACGGGATAGGGAAGACCGGACTCAACAGTTAGACGAAAGAAACCAAGAACGAAAGGACCATCAATGGTACACATTGGAGGTGTGGGAGGACCCGTCTTCGGAGCGATTCCGAGGTAAAGTTCATTTTCTTGTAAGGGACTTGCTACATAGATTTAGGGAGGAGTTGACGGATGCAGAGTCCGAAAAGCTTTGTGCCAAGTTGGCACCTCTGGTGGTTGCAAAAGAAGAGGAGAAGTATCTTGAACGTTCTAAGCAGGGTTGCGGTAAGGCTAAGCCTGTTTTCCGTCCTCATTTGGTGCAGAAAGTGGCAGATTTTGTCAATGGTTCTGTGAAGGGCTTTCTCAAGCGCAAGCACAGAGAGCAGAAATCACTTGTTCCTTCAGGTCATGCCTGAGCTCGCATGAGCACACTGGATTGCACGGAGAGAGAGAGAGAGAGAGAGAGAGAGAGAGAGAGAGAGAGAGAGAGAGAGAGAGAGAGAGAGAGAGAGAGAGAGAGAGAGAGAGAGAGATGGGTGTGAGGGTGTTATTGTGCAAGATAGAGACTGGGATCAGAAGGAAGATCCTGGCGTGTTACTTGACATCCTATCCCAACGAAAGCAGAGGCTGTTTGAATGTTATGTACAGATGTATTGGGAGTTCATTCCACGAACACACGGTGCAAAGGGATATTTTGAGGCAAGGAACTTGACAGATGGGGGGTTCCATTCTGTTGTGTTTTGTAGGAGCGATTCGCCATGCGTGGGGGGAGCGGGGTAGATCGGAAGAGGGATTGCCAGGCGGTGGTGGGATAGGAGCAGTGCTGTATTCTGTCATCGCTTGTCTACTGCGCATCCCCCCGTTGGTTATGTCATGCATCCGTGCCATGCCTGTGAACTTGGCTTGAACTTTGAATCGCTTGGGTACAGGCGTACCTGAAGAAGCTGGTGAGCAAGTGGGAAGGGTGGTACTACATTTTCACTGTTCCCTTATTGTTTTGACTATGGAGGAAACCTTTTCTTAAATAAGCCCCAATTTTATTCTTTCAGAAATTCAGCGCGTTTTCTCTCTCTCTCTCTCTTGTGTTGCACCAAACGTTTTGCGGGGACAGGTCACACAACTCTGCTTCTGTGTACATATCACAGTGGTTGACATAAATCCATTCTGCAGGTGGCACTAGGTTCTGCGGATCTGGTGCGTATTCTTGACAGCAATGAGACCCATCGACCCTGCTGATGACACGCTGCATCTCCGATCAATTGCCTATTGGCCCTATTCTTTCTTTTTGTGTTAATCTCAGCCTGTGGCCACCGATTACATGCGCATTCACTGGTGATGGTCTGCCTACAGTAGCAAGCGTCGTCCGGTTCCTGCGCATCATCTCTCCTCAGTTTTGTATAACGAATAAGCGCGGCGGTATTCCTTCCCCCAATGGTTTGTCCTTTTTGCCATTTTGGGAATCGAGTTCAATCAACACACAAATAACGTGTTGATGTCAACAGTTTTGAAAGCGCACGGTAAGAAACAAAAGGTGCAGAAATGGAGCAAGGGTGGCTCCTTACTCGTATAGGGAGAATTGTGTGTGTGTCATCCCGATTCTTCCACGGAGTCCAGTGTGCGAGAATCGAAGAGCAAACAGTTTCGACACTGGTTTATCCTGTAGGAGGCATCTTGTCGTGTACGCATAAACCACTGCCACCTCCGGTGGTGGCCCCGCTTACCAGGAGGCACGCTTGATTTCAGTTGCTTCGTCGAGAGGTGATAATGTGGTGCCACCGTTGTTGTACTGTCTCCAGGGTTTGGCCTGACTTTTCACCAGGTAGCGGTGGTGGTCCAATGATAGCGCGACAGGCCTGGAACTAGACTGTACAAGCCCGTGATATATATGCTACGGTTTTTTCCGGTCAGGTCGAGCGGCAGTGGTCGGGGCCGGTACTAGGCGGCCATGCTGTGCCTCTAGTGCCAGCGGCGTGTCTGGAGTGTATTTTTTGGCTGTGACAGACCTTTCTTTGTTTCGTG